CGCTCGGGTTTGCCCTGCGCCGGCTGGGCGGGGGGGGGGCTGCCCTGTCTGGTCTAGTCTTCTCAGAGCCCGAGCGCAGCACTCGAAACAGCCCCTCGAGTAGAAAACACCCGGCTCGGGCGAGCGAGGGCCGTCAAAATCACCAAGTCGAAGTCAAAGCGGCGCGTCAGGTCGCTGTGCCCAGACCCCAAAACGCAGGAGATGGTGGCACTCCAGCCGTGCCTCCAGCGTATGTTTCTTAACCGGTCGCAAAGTGAAAACTGCGCGTCTGACTAGCGCCATCGCTGTGGGGTAAATGCAAGCACCTGGGGCAAGCGAGCGAGCGAGCCCTGGCCGGGACCTTGCGGACGAGCGCCGCGCAGGTGTCGGGCAGTGCCGTGACACGTGAAGTCCTGGGGGACGGGACCTGGGCCGTGCCGCGCCATACCGTGTGCTGTGTGGCGGCCGTGGAAGGGGCTGTAGACCCGTGCTGGGCTCTGCAAACACCAGGGACATCTGTGCCCTCTGTCACCCTGACGGAGAGAAAAGAATTAAAAAGGAAGATGGGGAGTCCCTGCAGACTGAAAAGCAAGTGCTGTGAGACTCTCCCAGGCACAAGCTTAAATGCTCACCCCAATGCCATTTGCCAGAGTGGGGAAGTGCTTCAGCCTGACTCCTCCGTGGTAGTGTCCTGTGGTCAGTAATTGTCCTGGGATCGCATTTCAGTCATTCTGGAGATACAGAGATACCCATGCTTCATTAATAAAATAGTCTCATTTAGTCACTCCCGTTGATGATAGTTTACCCTAGATTATATTTACTTAGAGGATTTATGAATGTACTTCCTGTGCTGTATTGGCCTGATATTGCAAAGACGATCTAGTCTTGACCGTTCTAGGTGATCTGGGCATTGCGCTGTCTGTTGTCATCAAGCACACAACAGCTCCCTGGCTGGTAATGACTGCACCAAGAGGGGCGTCTCGATTATCTCTACGTTTCCAGGGAACTCATCATTTCTTTTCTGTGCTAGAGGTTGCTACATGTACTGTGATCAAGCGCTGGTGTTGGTGAAGGTCTCTCATAGGGAGGAAGAAAAAGTGAAAACTAGGCTTGTTTTTTTTGAGGACCATAGAAACCAGAATAAACTTTAGCGTGCTTGTGTTTCAGAGTTTAGTGCCTCAGGGAGCCCTTTGTGGGACCAAATACTTCCAGATTTGGCCTTCTCAGCAATTTTGTCATCCAAGTTCTGAAACGTTACTGGGAGACTCCTTTTTTTTTTTTTTTTTTTTTTGGATATAGGGTTTCCTGAAGCTTGAAATAAACCCTGTGATGAAGTGTGTGTCAGGGTGAGGAAGGGGAAATTAAACATTTGAATTACCAATGCACAATTATTGGAACCTGTGTCCATCCTTATTAAACTTTTTGGGGGCCTTTTACTTATGGGACTAAATCATTATTACATGCACATTTTTTCCTCCTTTCAGTTTCTCACCTAAGGCACAAGTGGCAGCTTTAAATTAAGTCCGTCAAGCAGTTCTAACTTATTAAACTAAACTTAAAAGCATCTCCTGCTTCCCGTCATGACTGTATTATGAGAGAAAAGAATCCCAAAAGTTTGCCTATCTCTGATTAGTGAGAAATCGGCATGCTCAGTTTACATATTTTGCTTCAGCACTGGAGAAGGTCTGCAGTTATTTGCACTATCCATCAAACGTGGTGTGAACCAACAGCCCCAAAAATTACCCTTATAAGCTTTGAGAAGGATGGGAGCCAGTTCGTTGTAGGCTACTAATCCCCCAGCTCTGGGCAAGTACAGAGCAGCTTTACAGTACCATCAATGCTGTGATCTTAGCAGTCCTGGAAGTGACCAGCACCCTCCTTTTCAAGGGTTTTTATAGTCACTATTGGGGCTGCTGTCACCCTAGAAGCCTTGTAAATAAGGGGCAATCGTGCCTTGAAGGTGAGTGGCTCTTGTCATTTCAAGGCCCAACAGCCTAACAGCAGTCCATTGACAATGTCTTCCAGAAATAGCTTGTCCATCTCTGCAGCAGGTAGTCTCTAAGGTGCCACTCTGCCCTGCCTTCTGCCTGACTTCAGACTAACACAGCTAACTACCCCGTCCCCCTGCCTGTCTTCACTCTTTGCACTGTTAAACTACTAACGAGTAGTTAGTTACACATTAGATAGTGGATTGAAAGATGCTAGATACTTAGTTGTTTATACAGTAACAAGTGTGCACAAATCCAGTTTGTCACAGTATAAGCCACGGGTAATAAATTGGAGCTAGCACTTATCCAAACGATGCCCTTATCCAGCATTCAGAAGAGCAGAGTGCATTGTATTTACACACTTGGGAAAAGGTGTCCATAATAACTTTCTTTCTGTTTTCCTTACTGTCCTTCCAAGCTGAAAAAAGTGTCAAACAGTCCAGGTGACATGTTGCCAAAAAGTAATTATTAATTGTCCATGTTATGTTTTCAAAATAATAACCAGACACATCTTATTTGTCCACATGCTGTTTGGATGGCTGAAAATATAAACCTTAAATGTAACAGGTACAAGACACAGGTGTAAATTACTAGCCCAGTAAACCAGGTTCTGACATAACTCAGCATGCTAACAGCTTTTATCTTGTGAGAATCAGACATTTTTCTTCACTGAGCTGTGGTTACATCTGTGCTGGGTATCATTATTCTGATCTATGTCAATAATGTTCACTTGCAAGTAAACAGTAAATAATCAGAAACCTCACCCCTTTACCTTTCCCACTGGGTGTAGAAAGTGCTGAGCAACTGTTTGGCATAAAATCCTGGCCCCACTCGAGTCAACAGGATTTTTGCCACAGACCTCAGTGGGGCTGAGATTTCACTCTTGGTTTTTCACTGCAAGCAAAAGGCATCAAATGGCCAGTTTATTCTCGTTAAGCATTGAATGCTGACTTGAAAAACAAAGATAGTTAATAAAATATTTCCAGTTCCTTTCCAGATTTGTCTTTCAAGTATTGTTCTTTCTTCTTGAACTGCTGTTTTTATGTTATATGCTTCGTGTAGATGAATGGACAGAGGTGGACAGGAAACGAGGTACTGTAACCTTTTAGTTGCATGCAGTAGATGAACGCAACCACATGCACATACATGAGGCTCGTTGCACATATGCACTCCAAACCTGGCTGCTCCAGTGCCAGAGTGATAGTGTTAGAGAGACCAACAGGATTCTTCAATCAAGATTTGGTTTTTAAAAACAGGCATTACAACTTTAGATCTAAATGAAAATGTAGGCGGGGGGGGACATTTGCAAATCATGTCCTTAAAACTAGTTTCTCTGAAAATTAATTTAAATCAGGAAATGAATATCAATACTTGATAACCAGAGTGACCTCCTAGCCAAATGTGAATGTTTTTAGTTAACTTTATACAAAAGCAAGCATATAACTGTGTGAGTGCTGTGAGCAGTGTTGTCATGTAAAATACAGGCAGTTATCATGTATGCTGCACAATTGTATTGCTGTAAGATTATTCCTTACTTGCTAATCCCCTGCCTATCCTGCATTTTAGTCACCACTTCCCTGGGCTCAGCACTGCTTGAGCAGCTTCCCTTTGATAATTATGATACCTGTTTTCCAGTATAAGGCCTTCAGAGTTCTCTGTACATTTATTTAAGGTGCTTATCACTGTGGTATTTAAATGCTCACTTGATACCACCGTGTATATAACCTGGAGTTTGCTACTGTTCTTTTCTGTGGCTCCATCACATTCTGTCCAGTGACATGCTCTTCCAGAATTCAAGGTGCACTAGCAGAACAAAAGGCTCTGTAGGACTTGCATTCAAAGCTGAGGTGAGAAGAATAAAGCATTCTTTTTTTTCACACACATGGTCAAAGCACAAATGAGTTTCACACTGATCAGTCAAAAAAAGCTTTAATACTTCACCTTCTGACATCAGGATTATATAGAGAAAGTACTATGTCCTTCAGTGGATGCTCCTCTTAAAGAGAATGGCCCTTTGGAGTCCCAGTTCAGAATCACAGGATCTTGTTGGTGCTAAGACAAGACCATGATAAAGGTGGGTGTAACTTAAACCAACTACTCCCATAATGTCAGGAATTATTTTACACAATGGAGAGAGAAGGGACTGGCTGCAGGCAGGTGAACTGAAATGACTGGTATCTGAAACAATAATTAGTGATTTTAAGTTGGGGGCTTTTGGTATGAATGTGCATGATGTTTGCATCTGGCATCAGCTGTCAGCAAGTCCACCCGACCATAGCAGGCTATTGGGCTGGCTTGATGAAGGCAGGCCACTTTGCATAGCTCACAGTACACAAGGGAGTGAGGAAGCTGGCATTGATCTGGCCACTTTGGATTTCTTTGCCTAAACCTGCTGCTATCCAGCAACAGGTGGGCTGCCTGGGCACAGCCTTCTGCATAAGACTACAATGGGATTTGGCAGACTCCAGTCTGCCAGCACACCCAGCAGTTACTTAGTGCATCAGCATGGTGTTCTGTCTTTTAATTAAAATTCAGTGCAGGTTGGATGGGTAAATTACTGTGGGCTTGGATTACTCCCTTGGCTGATTTTAATGTAAATTTGACAAGTATGAGCATTGTCCAGACATCCATTTATCGGCTTCATGTCATGCATGTTATCCATGTTGTGTTAAACTGCACTAGAAACTAAGATGTGAGTCACAAATGCCGTGACACATGTATGGAGAAAACTGCTGCTGTCTTTTTCACTGTATTCTCCCCTACATGTCAGCATCTCCTGTCTGCACCCAGCCCAGCCCCCTGCCCTTGTCCCACTGGCTGAGATCCTCCTGCCTACATTGCTTTTATGCTGCATTGTCTGGAGTGCTCCCATCCCTGCTCTGATGCTCCTTGTTCAAGGATTATTGTCCTGAAGTAGGCTGGCTGGCATCTTCCCCTTGGAGCCCCTCCTTCATCCACCCCTTAGGATTTCTTTGCTTGACCCAAGGTTCTTGTCCTTAGATCCTATAAAGAACTAACAAACATTTGCTACCAGCTGGGTGCCCTTAAGGTGAACTTTTCTGAAGAAGACCAAAGTTGGCTCTGCCTCTCACCTTGAATCTCTGTTTTTTTCACAGCTCTGGTTTAGCTTTCATAGATTTCGTAGACATTAGGGCTGGAACGGACCTTGGAAGATCGAGTCCAGCCCCCCGGCCCAGGGGCAGGAAGTCAGCAGGGATCATAGGATCCCAGCAAGATAAACATTCAGATGTCTTTTGAAGGTGTTCAAAAGCCAATGAATAATTTTGATTGAATTAATTAATGTGCATAGAGTATAATTGGTGTGTGGTGAACACAAATCTTCCCATTCAGTTGTAAAATACATGGTCTTGGCTTTGACCACTGTGGCAGCTTTCAATAGGATTGGCCCACTACCTGTTTGAGTGGCAGTGATTCATCTAAGCCAATGCTAACAGGTGTAGGAGAAGCCTTTAGAAAGTCACAACATGTGCCAACAGCTTTAAAATATTTTTGTGGGTATCACCATAAGAGCAGAAATTCTTTACTTTCTCCTACATGGCTGACTAGCTGCAAAATCAAATGATGCTTATTCACATTGTGTTTGATTACTCTCCACTCCTACTGGTGTGTGGCTGTTGTAGATGGGTTCATTGCATTTCAGGGAAGTGAGGTTTTTTGGCTGGAATTAGTAACAAGTCAGTTATTTGCCGACGGTATTTTCTAAAGGTCAGAGTTGATTTGGGTTTGTTTGGGTCTCTGCTGCTCAGAAGCTGGGGATGGATGGCACCTTATTAGGCAGGTCTAGATGCCCGCCAGGGGATATGCTGTTCTGCAGCGTTGTAAACATTCCCTCCCAGCAAGCCCAGAGAGAATTGCATCAGTGATGGAAAGCAGTACAGTAACTACAATTACCTGCCCCAGCTTCTGAGCACCCAGGAGCTGCCACCTCTGGGTATCTAACAAAGCATCTGGCAGAAAGTGAAAATAATTGTTTCAGTAACTTCCCTTTTGGACATCTGTGCATCAGCCCACTCACCACCCTCACCATAGTCAAAGCCCATTTCTCTTCCCCCCCCTCTTTGGTAGAATTGGATAATATGTCCTACAGCTAAAGCTACCACTAAGGGGATATCAGTTCTTTCTTTATTCCTACCCCTGAGGTATGTGTAACCCTTTAGAATTAGCTCATGTTGTGACCTTTGGCAGCAGTCATCTGCTTAGAAAAAGCTTAACCCGTGGTCAGTAATCTTTGGGTTGCTGTATTAGTTTTCATTCAGCATTCCCTTAGAAGGGAGTGAACATATGTGTATGATGCAGAGTTTAAGTCCAAATTAAATTAATGCCTGAAGATATAAGCAGTATGTAGAGTGTGCGATTCTTAACTTCCTTTTCATAGAGGCAATATGGCCTAATGGCAACAGCACACTTGGTAGTCAGTCATAGGTTCTTTTCTTGGCTTTGCATCTCTGTAAGTCACCCAGCAGTCCTGTGTCTTAATTTACATGCATGTTACCCACCTTGTATACGATTGTTGTGAGACTTTCTAACACATTTATGAGGTGCATTAGAAACCTCAGGCAAAAACCAATGCATTGCCTTCAAGGGATCCCATTGTTTTAAATGCTTTCATGATGCAACGTAAGATCATCAGAAAAAGAACCTTGAATCATGCAGTAGACCTTTGTTTAGAAGAGGAAAACGGGTGGATTGCAGCAGGTGTTGAAGGAGGCAAAAGCAGCTGGCTACAGTTTGTTTCAAGTTTATAATGCGAAAAGCTAATTGCAAACGCAGTTTCCCTCTTAAATAATTATAGCAATGCTGACATTGTAGGAACAAAAGATAAGCTTCTAATGTATAATAAGGAAAGTAAACATTTTAGCTATGCCTTAAAAAACAATGTACCAAAAAGAGCTTTGTTTCCATCAGGAAGAAGAAAAAAAAAGTTTGTTGCCAGTGTCTCAAATAAAGGTCTTGCACTTACTGGAATTTTTGCCACTGCTGTTATTGGAGCAAAACCTGGCACGATGTATTGGAATCAGAGAACTGTGTTACCCCTTCATTTTTGTTCTTGTGATTATGCGTTGTTTTCATAGGTGACCTTCACGAGAATCCTCTTACAACGGTGAATGTCCATATCCTTCATGTGGAGTGAAATACAGCACATAAACTAACTAGATTTCTTTTGTCTTTACAGTTATGAATGACATCATCACAACCATGTTCAATAAAAAGTTTATGGAAGAGCTCTTTAAACCACAGGAACTCTATTCTAAGAAGGCTCTGAGAACAGTATATGACCGGCTGGCTCATGCTTCAATCATGAGGCTGAACCAGGCGAGCATGGACAAGGTAAGAGGATGTCTTCCCTGTGTTCATGATACTAAAGTTAGAAGTCATTTGTTATTTTCTTCAGTGCTACTGCTTATTGGCAATTGAGAACAGCAGAATGTGGTTTTGCCGTACGCTAATTTATCGAGCACTTGTCAGACAAATCCTTTTAGATTTGAAATACTACATTTCAAGTGTTTCCTTTCTGAGAAAGATACAGGAAAATCAGTAATAGCACCAGACATATCAAGGTAACTCAAATCCACATGCAAGTGATTATGGTTATAAGTAAGGAAATGGACGTGAAGTGTCTTATGAGCATTTTACCATATGGATATAAGCATTAAACACTGTTTTCTTCTGTATCTATGCCCTAAGGAGTAAAAACTGTAGTTCTTATTGTATAGCTGCCGTAATGAGTTTTCCAAGTCACTTTCCAGGTTAAAATTGGTACAACAGTAAAACTGAACCAAGTGGTCTTGACTCTGGCTTTGTGATCTAACCAGAATTCACTTGCATTATTTTACAGCTATATGATCTTATGACTATGGCTTTCAAATATCAAGTTCTGCTCTGTCCTCGCCCCAAAGACATATTACTTGTCACTTTCAATCATCTGGATGCAATCAAGGATTTTATACAGGACTCCCCTACCATTCTGAACCAAGTGGATGAAACATTTCGACAGTTGATTGATGTAAGAGCCTGATTCTTGGATGAACTGTGGAACCTGCCACTGTTAAATCTATTTTCCCATCTTTTTTTCTCCAGCTAATTTTAGGGATGTTAAATACTTAGAGTAATGTGTGGAATTTACCTTTCAATTTTAGGGAACCACTCATTTTGCTGCTTTTCTGAAATTCACAGAAATAAATTAATTTTAATTATATAACCTGTAACTCTTGGAGCCAAGACCAGGACTATCCCAATGAAAGGAGCTTTTCACTCTAAAATATATTTATTTGCAAGGGAATTCAATAACCAATATCTTGTAACAATAAATAAAGGCCCTGGGAGGTTGTGAATATTGTCAAAATACTTTTGGA